AGGTCATGAATGAAGCAGCTGAAGATGGTTGGGCCGAGGACACTCCCGAGGAGCTCCTGCAGAGATGTCCTGGATCGGAGATGACTGACCTCCCACAACCACGACCATCTTCCTGTGTGTCGGGTACGACTCTAACCACTGGGATAACCTGTCCCCGATTCCCACTGATTCCAGTTTTGCTAGGGCTCTGTGATGCCACACTCGATATCAAGGGCTGTCACTCTCACCTCACCCTCTGGAATTCAGCTCTTTTGTCCATGTTTGAACCAAGGCTGTAATGAGATCAGGAGCTGAGTGGCCCTGGCGGAACCCAAACTGGGACATCACTGAGCAGATTATTGCGGAGTGAGCACTGTTGGTGGCACCTTCTACCCACTTTCCTCATGATCAAGAGGAGGCTGATGGGGCAGTCATTGGCCAGGATGGATTTGTCCTGCTTTTTGCGCACAGGACATACCTGGGCAATTTTCTGCATTGTCGGGTAGATGCCAGTGTTGTAAATGTACTGGAACAGCTTGGCTCAGGGGAGCGGCAAGTTCTGGAGCACAAGTCTTCAGTACCATTGCCGGAATGTTGTCAGGGCCCGTAGCCTTTGCAGGATCCAACCGTTTCACATGGAGTGAATGGAATTGGCTGAAGCCTGGTATCTGTGACGCTGGGGACCACTGGAAGAGGCCGAGATGGATCATCCACTCGGCACTTCTGGCTGAAGATTGCTGTGAATGCTTCAGCCTTATCTTTTGCGCTGATGTGCTGGGCTCTTCCATCATTGAGGACGGGGATATTTGTGGAACCTCCTCCTCCAGTGAGCTGTTTAATTGTCCACCATCATTCCCGACTGGATGTGGCAGGACTGCAGAGCTTAGATGTGACAAATGAGAAGGGGAAGGGATTTTAACTGGATTCAGCAAGACATTTCCCGGTGATTGGGAGCCAGACAGGACACAGATCGGAATAAAAAAAAAAGGCAGCTAGCCCAGGACAGATGAGTTAGTACAAACCTCCAGGGCACACAGGGCTGAGCCCTGGATGATAGGTGTATTCTCTCCGTCGTAACCAAACTCTGACAACAGCTCTCGCATTTCCAGCTCAACCAGGTCAAGCATTTCCTTA